GATCACCAATGCTTGGTAAGTGGGTATCCTCCAGCGGTGAAAACCTACATTAACATGTACATGTATATTCAAAGGAAGAAGTCTTCAGCCATTTGAGATAATGAAATCTTCTGCAGCACTGGTTTCAACCATGGGAGGCGCTCTAACACTAAAGAGTCAGCAGCTCAGATGGCATTTGAGGGATTATTCCAAATCTTGAATGCAGCCACTTGAAATGATCAAGACCCCCCCCCCGAAGTTGTTAGCCCTGTGTTCAACCAAAAGAAGCTCACTGTTTGACCCCAAATTACTTTGCAAAGAAACATAGGGCTGAGTCAAATCAATAATACATGAAGGGGAGACATTATGAAGAGCTTTGTGGACAGTATGCCTTAAAAACAATTCCCTGCTAACCAGTGGAGTTATTTCAAGATGGGTGTCTGACATGAATGGCTTCTCTGAGCGGGTGATGAGTCTGGCCGTCTTAGGTTGTAAGCACTGCAGTGAACTGATTTGCAACTTGTTCAGGCCATGTAGAATTGAGTTGCCCATGTCAAGTCTAGATGTGATGAACATGTGGATCATTGTGTTTTTGCGACACGTTTATTGATCTATTATAGTTGGAACCAAGACTATGTAGATGTGGGTTGGACAAATCTCACTCTAAACAGATGTGTTAAGTGTTCAGCCTCAAGTAGTTTTGTTATGAAATACAAAAAAGTATTGATGCCAGATTGTGCTTCATTATATCAGCCCTGAGTGTTGAGTCCTTGGGAAGCAAAAAAACTGAGTTTCACTTGGGTGACAAAGATTTTACACGAAGTCTGGTCTTATCAGTGAAAGTCGTTTACAGGTGGATAGCTATTTCTGTCTGTAGTTCAAGACTGTTAAATTCATTTCAATCACCCGACACAGATGCATTTCCAATCACATTTAAAGCAAGACGTGATGAAATTATAAGTGCAAAAAGTGTCTTAAACCGAAATGCACACTGCGATCTTTTTTGAAAATTGTTGTCTGGTACTGAACGTATAGATGTAACAGTGGAAGGAAAAAGACAAAGGACAAGACAGCTGGGCTGCTTTTTTCATCTGAGATTTATTTAAGCATTTAGCAAGTAAAATTCGGTGGAAAGAATAATGTCAGATACATGTATTTGCCAACCAAGCATTATAGCTCATTCACCTTTTAAGTGGAACTCATTTACCTTTTGCAATATGGATCTGTATTGGCCACAATTTACATTTGATGCATATAAAGTTAAAGGAATGTTTTGTATGATATATTTCTGGCCTGTAAAGCCATGAAGTAATGTTTGTCATATCATTGAACTTTAAATGTACATGTATATTAAATTCTGAAGTGTATTATGCGTGACACTGAATGTAACCCATCTGGTAAAACATCATTTGCATAATTACTGAATCATTTGAAGGAGCCAATGGCAAATCTTTTATGCAAATAGTGCACTCTATACCAGCACAACCGGTTGGACACTGACAGCTCTTGAATGTCACTGGCTGCAATGTACACCTATGAATTATATATCAGCAGGCTTTACATTGCCTTGCCAGACTGGGCTCATGAAGGGTAAACCAGACCTTTCTTTTGCCATGTCAAGGTGTAGTTTTTGCCAACTACTCATTGGCAAAGCTATGGCAGCTTGTGAATACAAATTCCACAGAATAATTCACCAAGTGGTAATCATGCAAATATTAAAACACTACATAATAAATACTTCCTCCCAGAACTAAATTAATATGACTCTTATTTCAACACTGGTGAAGCAAAATGTGTTTTAGAAGCAAAGTTGTTGCCAACTATGAAAGTATGAACTTTCTGGAAAGTTTAACTGCCCACACGATATAGAAGTCAAGGCTTGTAAACAAAAGGTCCACAAAGTGTCCAAAATGAACGGTGGTTGTTCACATTTTTACTGTGAGTGGATGGCTGCTGCCCTCAGCTGCACAAATGTAACAAAATTCTTGGCTGTAAATATAATTGCTCATCAACACTAGAACAGCATTTTATCAGATAACTTCATATTGTTTGTGTACCCTACTGCTTATCACTGTGTGAAGAAAGCTTTTTCAGCCAGATGCTTTGTGACACTGCAGAGTGTACATCAAATATTTCCCAAATGGACAGACTTTCAGCCCTGTCTCAAACCATTTGTTAAAGCAAAAGGTAAACAAAGGATAGAAAGGTTGCACTACAGACTGAAATTTCTAAAATAATATTTATCAGTCATACCAATGCATTAAGAAAGTCTTCCTCAACAATTGATATTTTGAATCAGTAATAATTGTTGTTAATCTACACAAGTCCAGCTGAAAATAAACATCTGGTAACGGTTGCCACATATCTGTGCATGCTCATATGCACCTATGCATTCAACAAAAACCATTGTGATAAACCACATCAGTTGCTGAATACATAAAAAAGATATTAAATATTTTAAAATAAAGCATAAGAAAAGCAAACCAAGACTTTAAATATTTCCAAAATAAAGCATAATACAAGCTAAAATTGCCACAAATGGAGCAAGTGAAAGAAACCATTGCAACTGAACATCAAGTTTTGGAAAGTATCAGTAGCAGATTCCCTACCCCACAGAAATACAAAATTTTCATCTTGGGTAAAAAAGCTAATAATTCCATGAGCAATGCAAATGAATGGGTAATATACCACTGAACCCTGCTACACATAGAGCTGATTTGCCCTGTTGTATAAGACAATATCTTTGTAATGTTTTGTTTAAAAATATTCAAATAGAGGGTGCTATGTAACATTATAAACCACTACGATTTCACCCAAATACATGACTCTCCAGTATATCATACTACTAAGTGTACTATTTTTTCAGACTTATTTTTCCTGAACTTGTAAGCTGGTTATTAATTCAAACAAAATTTCTCAAGAGCATAAATATTTTGCACAATGATGACAATAATGAAAAATATACCCCAAACTTTGGATAAATTAATCCTGTACATTTATTTCTAGGAATGACAAAGAAACGAGTTTCATTAGTACTGACAATTGAGAAAATACCAAACAAAAACCCAACCCCTTAACCTCCTGCCATTCAATGTCAAATGTTTACGAAGCTGAATTACTTCATAGATGATGGAACATTTCAAAACCAGCCTTTGAGGTTTTGAATCAAAAATTCAAATAAAGGGTGCTATGTAACATTAAAAACTGCTAAGATTTCACCTGTGTGCATGTGGAATAAACTGCAAAAACGTTCCTAACATCAGTGTAAAACAACAAATTTTGTTAATCAATGGCAGTTACGCAGGCACCAGATTCAACAAATGGTCCTAATGGTCTTAGATGTCAATTTCACTCCAAAAAAGTCCGAGTTGATAAACTACTAAAGAATTCACGATCAATACGTGTACATGTACTTTTATTCCTTTCCTACGTTAATTCTTGTTGATTTGCTTTCCCCTCATGTTTATTCATTGGGTAAATTGGTCTTTCCTTCTTTTTATTAAAGTGTGTACTTGCAACATGGCTACAACATGCAATATATTATGCATGTAATAGTGATGCGGACCAAAAATAAACATGACCCATTTTTACTATTGCGTATGAGCACTGAGAGTAATCCTGACAGACTGCTTATCTGAGGTGAATATGGTATCATGCATTCTAGCATTAATCATTCACTCAAAATGTTGTAGTCCACATTAAACATGAAGGCACAAGTATCAAATAAGTTGTGTTCGATGTTCTTTTTACAGGATAAAGCATGAACGATAAGGCCCCTGCAGGTTCAAATAGCATTTGTGTTTACATCAACTGTGAAGCTGTTCCCCTTTGATCCCAAAGTAAGGCATAATTTCTCCAAAGCCCCATTATGTTGCATGTTTTCAGCTGGATCAAATGTTCACAAGACCAGCTCCAGTCTCCACAATGCCCCAGTCTGCATGTTCATATTAAAAACTAGCAGCGACTTGTATTCAATGAAGTGTGCAATAGCTATCACATACATGTATATGTAGGTCTGCAATGTAGCATGCAGTGTGCGTGGAATTCTTAGCACATTGTCTGCTAATTTTAAGGCACATCAGGTGAAGTGACATCTGGAATATAACACTTCACCAATCATGTGCTTCTGAATTGGTCAGGCATCAACAACATCCTCTGATTTCATACAAAAAAGAAATCATTTTGAATGCTTGGTTTACATTAAAAAAGCACCTCTAAGGAAAACATGTCTTCTCTGATTTTATCTGTTCAAATAAATATGGAAGCAACCAAATCGAATGCTGTGTCATTTGTCTTTAAGCTCAACTATAACACCCTAAAATGGGCTCTTTTTCTGTTCATGCCAATATGCGAATTCTGAATGCAGATTGCGTCACTGAGGAGAAAAACAGAGGAAACAAGGTGAACCCTCACCCTGTGTTCATAACGGTAGTGGACAAACCCTTGTGCATCCCAAACAATGGCTACATGCATTGTTTCCATATGCTTCCATATTTATTTGAACAGATGAAATCAGAGAAAACACATTTTCCTTAGAGGTGCTCTAATGAGACCAAAATATTTCATCAGTTGGATTACAAACCCTCCAACTCCGACAAGTGCAATTTTCGACAATAAACAAGTTGAAAAAAATGGTACTTTTCCCGGCAGTTTTTTTTTTTAGTGTTTGAAGAAATAGACTAAAATCAATTTTTTTTCTCTTCAACCTGGATAAGTTACAGTAACTGTAGGAGAAACTGGAACTTCAGAGTTGTTTTCTTCCCTCTGACCCTGCAAAATTTGATGCCACATTTATGTTCATAAAATGCTGGCCTGAGACTCTAAAGGATATTATGCATATGTGTATGTACATGAACAGTATACATGTACATTGTACATGCACGGTGTACAGCTGTTTATATACACACGAACTTGTTACCGGGTTATGGGGACAACACACATATTGAAATACCAGGTTAGTTACTTGGCCATGTTTGAGCTGCAAAAAATCATCCAAATAACATGGTCCCAACAATGTGTAAACATTGTTGGGACCATGTTATTTGGATGATTTTTTGCAGCTCAAACATGGCCAAGTAACTAACCCAAAGCACCCACTCAACCTGTCACACATACTTTTCCCTTTCATTTCAGCTCTTTCAGCAGCCATTCACCTCATAAAAGAATCCATCTTGTTTCCTTTCCATGTTCATCTAACCAGCGACGGTGGAAAGATTTTCAAAGTGAGGTGGGGGCCAGTTGAGAGACCATTGGGCATCAGCCATTAACAGGCTGATCAATTAAGCCTAACCCCATTGTAGGCTCTGCAAAAAGTGGGGGCAGCATACCCCCAGTTGGAAATGTCCCCCCCCCCACCGCTTGCGCTGCAAGTTCATCCCCAGAACAGTAGACGTTTTCCATTTCAGGAACATCTGTCAATTTGACATTCAAACTGAGCATAAAATACACACAAACTACACATGATGAGTACTGAACAATTTTACCGAAATATTATGTGACACCTGCCAAGTATCAGTACTTCATTTTGCCTTTGGGAAAGATTCTACTAGGATCGAAACATCAGGCCCTCCGTATCTTGTGATAGAGATAAACTTGTCAAAGTCAAATCTGGCAAACTGATGGGGCTAGACCATGGTATGCACATCAAACATGTAATGGGCATTATAAAGAAAGTGTGACATCATGATGACATCACTGTATTACATTTAAAGAACTGAATATTTACAGACTTCAGACTTCAAACTAAGTTTCAACAGCCCTATGTACTGATGACACATGACAGTGATTACTGCAGTGATATGATGGGATAGATTTTGAGTCATCGGTCTGATGTACATGTACGTGGAAATCATTTGCCAGAAATAGGAGATAAAGTAAGCCTATGAGTTACATTATACATGTATCTCAAGAAATATAAAGGCTCAGTCTTACCACATCCAGCTCTGGAAGATGATTCCCTGAAAGATTGAAAAACTTGGTTAGAAAGAAAGTTTCTTCAACACAGAAATAATCATATTCACATGCTTATGATAACATGTACGGTTAAACCCTGTTCTGTCCCACCAACCATGCATGGTGGTAAACACTGTAATACATCATCAGTACATCTGGCTATTCTAATAATACATTTGTATGTCACAAAGATGTACATGACGTTAAAAAAATATATAATTACGTATGATGTTACGACAGTATCATCAAAAATGAAATTTGTTGAATTCATAATGAGAAGATATGATGGCACCATACACTGGATCTCTGTACACACTTTAAATATTCCAATTTTTTCCCTACCGTTCAATTCTGATCTTAAAACAGTAAATTCAAAAACCATTGTCCCACCTGTGACATGTCATTTTATCATGTTACTCCATCTTCCTTCCTCCTCATCTTCCTAGAATTCCCCATCTTTCTTGAATCCATATGTTTTGCAAAGAACGTATCAAATACAGTCTGAGTGCAAACAGTCATACTGCACAACTCTGCCCAGTTTGCAATGATGTGATTGTTTTTTTTAATCTCTGCCACAATTGATGTCTTACGTGAGGAAAACCTCAAAAGCTTTCCTGATTTGTGGAAATGTTTCACACCTGGATTAGATCTGTTGCCCTTTTAGCCTATCACCATGGAAATGTGGATGTCCTGCCACGCTGCTCATCTCGAAGTTGCCGTGCTACCTGTGCAAATGAGGATGAATGGTCCCTCATATCTTGGATGGTATCATCAAGTTGGCCAAGACGCTCTCCTCGTTCCAGTGCAGCCTGTGCCAAATCAAAACAAGGCATGCGTGCATCTTTTGGGTTCATCCACTTTGCATTCAAAACGATCTTTCATTAAATGCCATAAATGTCTCTTTTTTTTCCACAGAGTTATTCCATGCTGAATGGTGAAGATGTGATTGGCTAGGTTACACAGATTTTGTCATTTTGTCACTGTCCTACGATAGCAACAAAATTATCTCCCACCTTTGTGAATGTTAAGATACCTCATTCTAAAAAATACAGTCCTTAAATTCCCATATTCTCTCACAACAGTGAAGTTCTTTGCATTTCCAAAGACCCGTACCTAACAAATTGCTCAAACTGGGATGAACATGATAGCTTCACCCCAAATCATGTCCTCCATGTAAACATCATGGGTAGAGTCAACTGTACTTAACAGAAAACACCACCCAAATTAAGTGTTCAGTAAGGCCCCATTATATTATTACATTAAATCTAGAGCATCCTCACAGATGCCCCTTTCCCAATGTTTGCGTCCTCACTATCATTGTTCATGATGATTCATTCAGACTGTGAAAGCCAGACACTGCCTTCTGTGGGTGCCGCAAGATTCTTAATACCTGGCTCCTTTCCTTACAGTCCATTTCACCATTTTGACTTTGTTAACCAACCTTTCTGGGATCACTTGCTGCTTTGTGGGATGCAATTTTCTCTCTGACATCACGCTCTACTTCATATTGAGCAACCCGGCCTGAAACAAAAAGGAGACAGAGAACTGTAGTCACTGAAATGTTCATGCAACCGTCGTCCATTTCCAGCCTTCCCCTGACAAAATGTAAGGCCTGCGGAAATTCGACAAAGTACATGTACAACTCCAAAAATGAGAAATATGTTGTGCTTGTCTGCAATGCTGCTGCATGGTTAAAGTTCTAAGAGATAATATTGAAACTCCAAAAGAAGAAATCGTCCAATACAGAGTCATTCTACATGTACATGTGTACAGCTGAACATGTACACAGCTGAACATGTACATGTGTACAGCTGAACATGTACATGTGTACAGCTGAACATGTACAAAGGCTGGATCCCTACTGTTAAGGTACAGTCCACCATTTTGCAGTTTATCTAAAAAGTGACGGACAAAATTATGGCTACATGTAAAAAACATACTTGGTGATGGTGAGAAGAATAAATTCCCAATGAAATTACCATTTCAGGTAAGCTGTCATTTTGAGGAAAAAAATGAAAGAAGACCATTTCCAACAATGTGTCTAAAGATGCATTTTTGGAAAAATGCCATTAGAAGCATGCACAAGTACTGACACGACACACGTACATGTACCAGTACGTTCATGGTTACTATACGTGTTTATGTTCATGTACATGTAGTTCATTATTTCACTACATGATAACATGTAGCTGCCTTCCACTGAACATGAGAATGTGTCCCAGATACGGAATTTTGGCTTAATTCAAAACATAACTGAGCAACTTGTGATCTTAAATCCGATTCCTACAATACTTTTTCTCGGAATATATACAATATTCACTGAGCTGAAACTACTTCACCCTTCTTTAGATTTTGAGTAATTTTACACAAATGACAAATGATAATCTGTAGATGTGCCTTTAAAATAAGGCATGCCAAACCAAAAGCCAACAGAGACCAGGCAGTCTCAAGAAGCTAACAATGAAGTCCCGTATGAGGCACATACCTTATGTCTATGAATTTAAATCTAATAAATGCCTGACAAGTACACTATAGAGCATGTACATGTATAAACCTGTAATCTACATGTACTGTGTAACCTTTATCAAAAGCACTTTAAACATTTTAGCCAACATGATTACACTACATGTACATGTGCACTTACACTTGCACCGATTAAACTTCTTGGCTTTTGACATTTCGACATTATGGTTACAACGTACTTCTCACGATCCAAACTTACATGCTATCAGACATCTCTTCTCCCCAATCCTTCCTCATGCCTCAAGTGAAATTTTAATTTCCTATGCATATTTAAGCACACGCCAGGTGCCCTATGTTCTCCCTACTCCAGTCAGACACCAACAGTATGTAAAGGTAAATATAACAGAGTTTTAATCAAAGAATGACAGGGAGACATACATGTTCATGTACATGTATTTTACAGGTGTCATACATGTACATGTACAGAGACATGGGCAGCCATAGGGTTATTAGTTCAACTTGAATATGTCTGTTTACCTTTGGCATAATGTGACTTCATCCCCTCCCCGGCTACAAATTCTGTTCTCCGTTTTGCTGTCCTTGCTGCAAAGAATACAAAAATGCTAACTGTAAAGAACTTTGCAAAAACATCAAAGTATACTACAATAACAATGTAAGAAAACACATTGGAGCCACTGCAAACACGGAATACAAACAAAGTAGGAATTAACCTTTGTAGCAACTGGAGAAACTATGAACTTCCTTTTCTCTTGGTAAATTAACCCTCTTATCTTAGTCTTTTTTTTAAGGAACCTTCCAGAATCCTGCAAAATCGTTCACTTTGTAGGAATCCAACAGCATGCTCTTTATACTGTAGTAACAATCAAATTCCCTTTACAGCAAGCCACCTGGCTGGGAATTGAACTCCCACAAAAAGTCTTGGGTCAACCTCTACAAACTGATACCTTGCACAGGTTGGACTCAATAGCATTTACACAGTCTAGGAGCTGCCTCTACTGACTCCTTTGCACTGTGGAAAGTCAAGACCATCAACCATCTCATCCATGAAAGCAGCATCTACAAAGCACCTAATGGCTGTACCAGAATGATGGCTCTTGATGATGACATCGTCAACTGAGCTATCTACAAACCTGCCAGTCTAGATGTTGATGGCTTAGCAATCCACACAAGCAAAAACAGACATATATGTTCTACATGAAGTCACCATGACTTGACTTTGACTTCATCAATTCAACTACAAAAATGCTCAAAATACCTCTGACAGATTTTTAAAAAGCTCAATTCCTTGCAGGTAATGCTTTTCACTATATTAAAATTTTCATTCTGAACAATTCTGTTCTCTTTTTAATACATGAGTACCTTGATTTTCCCTTCAAATGTAAACAAGTCTCTAAATACCTACATGTACATGTAAAGGCAATTTACATCATGAGCATATTAGTGACCCACTCAGAGCCCTTTGGAGTAAAAGGTGCTTTCAAATAATTGTGCACAGTGTAAATCAATAGGAACCCACAGCATTTGTCACCACGGAGTATCCACTTTCATCAGGATGCCAAAATGAGTTCAAAACAAAAACTTAATTTGCTCTTTCCAATGTAAATGAAAACTCAAAAAGGGGCTCTGGCGACTTAAGACTCATTTTCACAGAGTGGGTCACATTTGCAGTGTACACATACATTTACATGTATGTACAAGAAAGTAATTGTGCGTACAATGCAGCTTACTGTTGTCTGTATATTTACATATAGCACTGCACTGGCTCCAGCTGCAGTCTTATCTTTATTACTGCATGAAAACAGGAGAATAATTATAATGCACAGTAACGAGGTAAATGGCCTTCTGCTGCATTTCACACTGTCCAATTTGTATCACTGCATGTTCAACAGTATGACCATCTAGAATTACATGAATATGTGCCATGTAACCGTGCATGATACCAACAGTACTAAATGTACCATACCGATAGATATACATGTACAAACATGTACTGTATATGTACATATGTAAGTACACACAGACACCTCCCCTAAGTGTAATCTGCACGTGTGCACATTAATAAGAAATGTACAAAACAGCTTTTTTGAACACTGTACATGTACATACATGTATTGTAGGTGTGCATGAATACTGTCAAGCATGTCAAGCCAGCAAAGACTGTGACTGTAGTCGTCAATGTACTATACTGCCCGCATGATGATAAATACAAAACCAAAAAGTTGTGGTGAGATTAGCACTCAGCTTTCATAAAAACAACAAAACAAAATGGTCAACTTCCATTACAGTTTGCCACAATGCATACTCTCCTGTGATAACATGGCGAGTCACATTAACTCACTTATAAGGAAGAATCCATTTCTACAGGTAAGTTCAGATTTTTTTAAAGGCAGTGGATTTTTTGCCATCGCTGGCTAACTTCAACTAACGATATGTACATGTAGCTGGGCACATACATGTAGGCAGTAATGTTTTGGGCACTTGGAAATTCTCACTGTGACAAATTTTAGTTAGCTGGTTCTGCGCAACTAAAGTTGTCATAACTTTGTAGTCATGGAAAGGCAGACCATTTTAAAATATCAGACTTTTTCCCCTTAACAAAAAGCTCTACAGCCACGAATCTGAAAAAAGGAAATGTAATACTCTGTAATTAAATGTTTTGTGCGGACAAAAAAGGAAGTAACGGTTGGGAACCAAACCCAACTGGGAGCATCGCATTTAGGCTCCAAATACATGTACATGTATGTACGTGCAATCCATTAGACTACGACATGTGCTCTAAAATCAATGGTAATTTAATAACTTTAATAGGTTTCCCCATGCATCAAAGAGGGCGCTATCTTCTAGTAGTAAGCTAAATATCATTTACTTAGGGATAAATATCCATTGTCTTTTTCAAATGTCCCCACAACATATTACTCCCATAGTTCCAATTCATTCAATTGCTAATCGCTGCATGATACTGTATCTTGACCAGTCAGGGCACTCTGAGTAAATTATATGAGACCTTTCATTAGTTACCATACCATAGATTACACATGTTAGATCATTCCCTGTGATAACTGATGACAGCACAATCATGAGCTATACGTAGCATAAATATTAAACACTGGGCATTTTTTCATTCAAATTTACCAAAGCTCATGAGAAATAGTTTTCATAAATTTAAGAGAATAGAGAAAGTTCAAACTATGTGTATACAAGTATTCTTTCATAAAGGCTTTTCATTCAAATATCAATACTCACTTCCTGATTTGCTGGGAGCTGTCTGTGATTCTCTGCTGTTTTTAACATACAAAGGTTTCTTGTAATCTCTCTCTGGAGCTCTCTCCTCCATGCTAAACTTTTTCTTCTCCAGGTGAGATGACTTTTTTTCCTGAAGACTATGCTTTTTCTTTCCAACCTGCTCTCCACTGCTATTCCGAGACGGTATAGACACCATTGAGGTGGCCCTAGCCTTAGCCCTCTTGAATGATTGCTGTGTTCTCTTCATTAGTGAGAACCCTTTATTGGGACTGGTCTCTTCATCACTGCCTTCATCTTGATCTGATTGGTCATGGGTGGGTAGGGATGATGGTTCATTACCCGAGGCTGGACTAGGAGATGTACAAAATGAAGATTCTTCTTCTTGAGTTGCGCTTGGTGGGTAAATGACTTTGGCAGCCATTGCCACTGCTACTAGCTGATCAATCTCCCTGTCTACGTCACCTTGTGACATGTCATCACCTGCCACTGTGACAGCAGTAACACCCTCATTGGGATTTTCAGCCACCTCTTGCTCAGCAAGTTGACTTTCTGATGCATGCTGCGGTGATATACTGCTGTGTGATACATCACTGGATGATGAATATTCATCACTCAATTCCTTGTACTGTGTGATCTCTTCTTTACTGGGGCTTTGTTTGATGTTCCTGTTTGCTTGAGGTTTCTCCTCATATTTCAGTTCACTTTTGTCCTCTACTGTTGACAAGGAGCCATAATCCCTTGATGCAGGCTCTGGCTCTTCATTATCCACTATAATGCATTTTTCCTCAACGCTTTCTTCCTTGGCATCATCATTATGGCAACAACAGCCACCCATGATGCAACCTTGCACTTCCTCAAAAAGCCAGAGTACATGTACAAATATATGCACACTGCACCTGCCGTTACCTTTGGGAAATGATGATATGCAAGAACAACAATTACTGAAACATAAATTTCCAATGAATTCTTACATGTACATGTCTGTGTGTTTTACATCAAAACATGTACTGTATGGAAGTACGATGACTTCTTGTGAAATACTAAGGACCTTGTCTTTGAAGAATGTTAAGGAATGTGAGCATGTGTACTTCTTAGGACAATACAAACCGGTACATGTACAGGGAATCCAAGACAGGATTCTGCACTGTTGTAACATTAGAAACTTGGTCTTCTTTAAGTGCCAAAAATTGTCAGGAATTCCAAAATTTCTCCTTATGTCCTCCATGAAAAGATTCAAGCTTAGGACCAAGTTAAGAAACAAAGACTGCCAAGTCTGTCGTTTCCATGGTAAAATCTACAAGTAGTAGCCAGTCAGAGAGATGAATGTCCAGCAAGAAAAAAGTGCCCTCTTGTGGGTGCATCTGTCTATAGCATTGGCCTTCATTCCGAAACCACCTTACCCGGTATATGCCATACAATGAAAACATCAATTTTTATTTTATAATGGGAAAATATGAGGTCTAGTTCTCCTCTTGCTTGTACATTGATGCTCCAGACCTACAAATGCGGAGTGCATGATGCTGGACTGTTCTGACAAAGCCCTGTTTTTATCTTGCCGACACCACACAAGGTGTACTATCCTGCTGTCTAACTGCTACATGTACATGTACATGTAGCATGCGTACTCTCACAGTAATTGACAATCTGGACCAATTGGAGATTAATTTAAGCTTTCTAAATGGAACTATTTGTTAACTAATCAGTGAAGTCTATTAATCCAGACAGTACATAATTGCAGAATATCCTGCCATTCGAAAATAACCCCAAAATAGTGTGCAGTCAAAGGGGCAGCCCATGTAATCTTTGACAACAAAACAGATTCTCCACACGCCCCACCTAAGCACCTTAGCGGTTTTGAACTTGCTTGATTTTCAAACCCTCAGCCTCACATAGGCCTATTTCCATTTGCCTCAGATCAAGCAGTTGGAAACTTTCACATGTAGTATTTTTGGAGTCCTCTGTAATCATCAGTGCCTTCCGACATATTTGTCAACGTTTTTCAATGAAAATTTTTCAATGAAAAAATGTCGCCCAACATCTTTGTCTTAAAATTCACCGTCTTATTTTGGGAGGTTAAAGTTAATGGTTATGCTGGCACTCTCTCTTTATCAGGCGATGGATCCCATAACAATGTGCAATTTCAAAAAACGTTGATAAATCTGAAAGATACATGTATATGATTTTTCATTTTTAAGTTAAGGCCCAAAAGAACAAGATGCTTAATCACCATTACTGACTCTCATATACATTGTATTACAACAGTGTAGTTTATTTAAAAAACACTTATGTGTGCCTGCACATTTGAAAAAAACGTTCTCCGGCCCTCAAAAATGTATTTGGTATAACTTTGCAAATGGGACAACTCTTCAATAATGAGTAAATCACTAGCGACAGAAATTTGCCAAAGCCTTGCAGGATAATGCTGGAAGTCCCTTAACTTTTAGCAAATTTTGTGGATTTGTGTCAGTCTTTTTCAAGTCCACCTGTTGAAGCATGATACAAAGGCTTGCAATGTAAATGGGGCAAAATGGCCAAAAACTTGTACAAATCCTAAATTTCAGCTTAGACACAGCAGGCTTACATGTACATGTAGATACACAGGCCTACTGTCAACAACGCACGTAACAGCCTCATGCATGATGTTTACGTACCCTGAGAATCATGTTGCACATGCTTAATGTGCATGTACGCAGAGCGGATTCTCGTACGCTGAATAGTTGCACGCGCAAAATGTACGAATTAATACAGTGGAGAACAACTGAAAACAGTCCAAAACAATGACTAGAATAAACGTTGCATGATGTGTCAAATTTTTTAACCCACCAGCGGTGAAGATAAGGATGCATAGGAGTTACATGTACAGACGTGAAATTGGCTTCTTTAAAAGGTAGAAGTGTTGAAAATGTTAGTTACAACATTTCTGTGTTCCTTTTAGACCCTTCACATCCTGACATGCCTGGACATCCTCCATGATGTAGGCTTAGTACGGTCAGGGGAATCCACCTGGGCTAAGTATGTTGTGTGCATTCGTGGCTGCTTGCTCATTTTCGAAGTTATTACCCCATAATTTCCATCAAAATCAAAATCCTGTCCACTTTTTACAAAATTAACAATGACAGGCCCCACTGCAGGTACATGTTAGTGCATGGTGTGACCTCTATGTACAACAAACATTCATGATGATGTAGCCTACATGTTCCTGGACAAAATAGTCGGGACACTTGGTAGTACCGGCACCATACACTCTGCAGCTCCCTCCTACCCCTCGTCAACGCGTCAATGTTCAGTGGCATGTCCGACCAGATCGCAGACCACAACCCAACATTGAATGAAAGGGGGTCTGGCTGGAGGCAAAACAAGATTCGTCGGGGATTGTAGCTTAGTCAGCCTCGTATTTATTACGCTGACGTTGAACATCGTTACGTTACACAGGTCCCAGCCCCGTTATAATTCATGGTTAGTGTTTATGATTGCTTACCTAACTGTATGTTTCGTCGATGTCATTCAAACACTTGTCCTTATTTTTTACTCCTCCAGGTCTGTGTCCTCGTCGGGGACGATTGACTTTAGAGGAAGCTTTACAGCAGAAGAACAACCTTTCGTCGGCCGGCAGACGCATACGGCCTTAGTACCGGCCGCGCCGTCACATATCAGTGGAGGTTCTGTGATCTTTGATTTGACGTAGAGCAGACGTAGACATGACAAGCAATGCACGAACAACATAAATAAGCACGCTGAGTAACGTTAATCTTACATTGCGCCCTCAACCACAATACTTGTAGTTAAAGGTAGGCCTATTGGCAGAAGGCTCATTTCTGGCAATGTTTTCATAAAAGAATGAGACTGTAATTTTATATTTTGGGACGTGGTTGTTGCCGCATGTTTTTGTTTAGGGATTCGTCAGCTGAAATATCCTTCACTGTGATTTCAAAGTAGTCCTCACTTAATTAGTTCGTGAGCTTGCGCTTACCGTATACGCGTACCTCAGTCTGTGTTTGATGTTAATGTTGGAGCATTTTTTGCTGATTAATTTACTCCACCAAGTTATTTCAAGGATTTCTTGACACCGACATGTTTGTAGTAGCAGTTCCCGTTTGAATTTGTTCCATTCAACATGGATATGTTCATCACTTTTACTAAATTGCCCAGAATGGCGATTACCGACACTTATAAATAACATACCGGCGCCAAGGTGGATAGTGGTACGTTAGGTGCCGGTGGAGTAGAGCTTACGGAATTCATGGATCACAGAACGGGGTCATCTCACTTAAAAAGAGCCTTTTTAACGATTAGAGAAGAACACTTTTTTGTATCTTGTTGCCATCCTTACAAGAGCGTGTAAACATCCCTCAAATGTAGAATTACCTCTCATAAAGGCCATACAAGACTATATTGAAAAAAAAATCCAACATTTTGCCCCCCCAAAAAAAGAGTTTTCCCGAACATTTGTAACGATGTGAGTAGCAAAAGCACTATAATGCCGTCATGATAACAAACTTTTACGACCTGATAAGGCGTATGAATTCGAAGATCATAAACATATAAAATAGTTTTCTAAACTTGGATGATTTTTTTCATCGTGACTTTACAGTAACTGCAAGTGCCGCCGGCATTTGAATGCTCATAGGTGGATCCAAAACTTTATTGTGTACGTGTGAGGGAGGTAGATTGGCCAGAAATTTAGGAAAATTTCGGTGTAATCTTTCATGGCCCTTTTGGAAAAGGAGTCGGATTTTAGTTCGAGTGGGTGGATATTGCATGTAGTTGTTCTGTTGGTGAAGGCATTTCTCTTTGTCTTGTACCGTACACGCAAAGTAAATAACAATCATATGAAAACTACTCCAGAATCTATATTTTTCTCACCACGCAAACAGTGGGGTGATCTTATAGCCCATTCCCCTCCCCCTGCAAAATCGGACAGAAACAGCGCCGCCTGGTCACTAGTCTTGAGGAGGGATTGGCCTCCGCCTCCCTTTGGAAATTCGAGAATTTAGTGTTTTTTGCTACATGGACTAAATTCCTCGGATTCCCATACTGTCTACCTTTGTGCTTTTACCTTTTGTTGAGCACTGGACCATTACTCATAAAAGCGCGTGTCTCCGTACATGTCTTCAGGGGGGGGAGGGGTTAGCGTAGCGGTTCTTTGCTAGCTTTGCACCAATGAGGTTTGGGTTCGAGTCCCGGCTTAGCCTAGGCTTTAAGTGCATTTGATTTCCAGCCAATACTCGCTTTCGCAGGTTTTCTACAGGTATTCCGATTTCTTCCTGCCTCTAAAACTGGATTTTTTTCTTAACTCCGTAATGTGATGCTGATTGATATAGTGTATGAATAAACGTACGGTTATTGGAGCAAATAGCCTGAGTTGCTGAAAGCGCCATTAAAACAAAACAACAACACGTCTTCACTTCAGGCACATGCATGATAGGCTATGCTGAATAGGCTATCCGTCGCTGTTTCTCTTTTACTTCATGTGTGGCATAATTCCCACCCCACCCCAATTCTGCTTTGTCTGGTATTCTTTTTTCTTACAGGCATGTCGGGCTTTAACTGATTCAACTGCGGCAACCCGTGCCATTGGTCCAGATTCTGTCCATTCAAGTACTCAAATGTTGCACGATACGAAGGTGGATCCAGGTTCAGATATCAACCCTTCGCTACTCCTGCCAGAGACATCCCAGGTCAATTTGCACTGCCCTTCCGCCCCTTTACTCCTTCCATTGCCACTTCAACCTCAGAACTCGGCAGACTCGGAACCTCAAGCATCATCCAAGTCCTAGCTCTGTCGCTGACAAATTTTCCGACATAATACAGGTACATTGTGGTTGCTATCCTGATTTAAATTCAGACACTATCAACGTCAAAGGTAGACTCAAGTTGCATGCTGAATTTTGGGTCAGTATTGGTGCAGCGAATATGATTCTGTCCTTTGTAACGGATGGTCTTGTGTTATTGTTTCAGAAGAACCTCCATCTTATTTCCTCCCAAATAACGCTTCAGCTCTCCACAATTACGGTTTCGTCACAGAGTCGGTTTCCGAACTCCGGGCCTCCAATAGAATTAAGGAGATAGGGGCCCTCTCTTATGTTATTAGCCCACTTTTAGTGGTTTGTTAAGCCTCGAATAAAAAGCGTTTGATTTTAGATCTGCAGCACAAAGTATCATTTCAAATTCGAAGATTGGAAGATTGCCTTGCAGAATTTCGAGCCAAATGCTGTATCATTTTCATTCGATCTCAAATCATCATGTTGACGTTCATCCTCAATTTCAACATTTTTTTTTAGGCTTTTCCAGGATTATAGGTGGCATTCAGAAGTATTTTCAGTTCACAGTTTTGCCGTCTGGACTAACTTCTGCTCTAGTTTTCACAAAGCTAATGAAGCCCCTTGTTTCTCATTGGCGTTCATGTGGCATCTTCATCGTGTTGTATTTGGATTATACCTTACTGTTGTTCCTCGTTCCAATCTTCCTCCTTCTGAGCATTCTAAATTTGCTGCCGATACATCGCTTCATGTAAAATCAAATCTCTTGAAAGCTGGTTTCGTTTATAGCATTAACAAAAGTAAATGGAACCCTTCCTCATCCATTGTTTTGTCAGGTATGTCTTGGGATGCTAATAGTGGAATCCTTAAGGTTTGGATTGTCGTGCTCACAAACTTCAATCGGCTATTGTTTCCTTACAATCATCCCCCAATTGTCTGGTTAGGAAATGAACAAAATCATCTGCTTAGACGGTAGTTCTTTCGCCTCAGGAGCGGATATTTGCAATGATGGTCACATGGCTTATAAAAACTTTTCCTAAGATGATAAAACAAAATGTTCAACTTGGTGAGAGTTGGGAACAGTGTATATTTACGTTCTTTCTTGCCACTGATCGCGAAATCTCATGTCAAAGTTTTCAAGGTAATCAGGCGGCTTCCAAAATAATTGAAGTTGGCAGCATGGAACCTCATCTCCAGTCTTTGGCTTTGGGTATTTTTGATTTTTGCTTAGAAAACCAAATCTAGGGCCTATATCGAAATTAAATGGATTCCCCGCTCTCTTAATGAGCAAGCCGATTTTGTCAGCAAATTGTTAGATGTTGATGATTGGGGTCTTTCTGATCAATTTGTCAAATCCATCATTAACAGGTAGGGTCCCTTAGGCCTAACCGTTGACTGTTTGGCTTCCTACTTTAATGCCAAATAGCTCGTTTCTTTCCAGATTTTGGAATCCGGCGGCCGAAGCCATTGGCGTTTTCGCGCAAGACTGGTCTGCTGAAAATGCTTCACTAGTTTCTCCGGTTTCGTCAATTCCCCGGGTTCTGTTCATTTTTAATACGCTCTTACAGGGGAACCGGTGTTCTTGTTTTCCCATGGTGGCCGCCCAGCCCTTTTTGGCCTTTATTATGGACTACCTTCTAGCCCTTCATGGTAGACATGATTACAGTGCATGTCTGGTGGGCGCCGTCGAAATTCAGATTGTTTAATGTATATAGTATCCGCTAATGCTCTCCTTTGTTTTCACACAGATCACTCTCCAGTAACCTTTTGGGCTAGAATTTCACCTGCAATTCCCAGTCGTAAGGAGCAATTGTTGTATGAGGTTATTGCTTCCAAGTCGGAGGGCACATGCAATTCAATTTTTTACAGGTGTCGACTTTGTATAAAATGGTTGATTGAGAATACATTTCGTCTTTCGTTTCCAAGAGGGGAGATGTTTTTGCAGTTTAGTTTTCTGAAATCAAGTCCAGGTCCAATTCTGATAGTGTCATTACAACAATCATCAAATGGCTTCACTCCTTAATGAATGTTCACACATTAATCATGTAGATTCTCCTCTTGTTCAACAAATGCTGATTAGTTTCAGAAAAGGTCTTCACCACCCTCCGGCCCAAAAGGTTCCTTTAACTTTGGAGCAACTTAATAAAATATTGGACATATTTGCCAAAGACGATTGTTCTCTTATGCAGTTTCGTCCTGCATGTTATGTGTGTATCAAGTATGCTTTGTTATTAAGCCATAATGAAATTACAGAAATGAAATGCAATCATATTTCGGTTGTTCCCAACAGCAAAGATTTTAAGATTTCCATTCCTAAATCAAAAACTGATACGTTCGGGCAGGGTAACGTGACGTTTATCCCTTTTTCTCATGAGAGTCATTCGCCATTTTGTATTTTGCTAAGGGTTTTGCACAGATCCGGTATAGGTATTGGGGACGACGAGTTTATTTAAACCCCCTTACGTTTTGTTCTTCCACCAAATCATACAAGCGTACTCAGAACAAACCACTAACGTACATTAGGTGCAGAGAATTATTTTTAGATGCTCTCAAATCAATTGATAGTACAGATGCTAATGATTACGGCTTTCATCGTTTAAGGTCAGGAGGTGCCACTCGATTAGCTTTAAATAATGTGCAACAAGGTCGTTGGACGACAAAAATGGCTAAGAATCGATATGTTAATGTGGATTAAGACTTGCGTCTTCAGGTTGCCAAAGCGGTATTAACTTTAATTGTCGTTTTTGTCAGTGCTATTGTATAATTTATGCTATTGACGGCTGCCCCCTGCAAACTCGCCGCTAAGAAGACCTTAGCCTGCTTGTCTGTCCAATCGTTGGCCAGCTTGCACGCTTCAAAGTGCTGAAGGTAGTCTCTCCAAGAAGACTTCTCATTGTACCAATCGGGTGTGATGTTTGGTCGTCTTGTCTGTCCACCA